TAGGGGTTTTGGTGTTAGGGTTTAGAAATCAGGGTTAATGTTCAGGGGTTTTGGTGTTAGGGTTTAGAGTTCAGGGTTAATGTTTAGGGGTTTTGGTGTTAGGGTTTAGAGTTCAGGTTTAAGGGTTCAGGGTTGTATATTATGTTATGTTTTGCTATAGTTGCTTTGTTCGACATTCGCGCTTATTCTATTGTGTATCTGATAACATAATAATACAGTATAGTAGTGTTTAAATGAAGTTGTTGATATCGCATGGTATCATGTGATTTTCTCAACAGTATCCGAAAGCAGATTATGGCATATCTCAGTAGTACTGTATGATATACGCAATTTTGTGGGGTTTCAGACATTTCGACATTTCACAAATGAGAATCATGTGTGTACGGTATTGTGCGACAATGCTTCATATGCTATCTGCCGGGGACGGCGGGGCCATTGACGCGGCGACGCGTGCACCGCTTATGTGAGGGCCAGCGAAGTGGATTCAACACAACGAACTATCACGCTCAAGCAAGCCCATTTCCAGGGGTTTTGGTTTGGATTCATTTTGCTTTGTTACGTTTACTAAAACGATAGTTACTGCTGTTTTGTATGGGTGGATGTGAACGTATGCATGTAATTACTCGCAAGTATACATTTTTCTGCGCACAGCAGAAGCATATACGGCATCTAATCTAAACTCGGACAGGATGGCGGCACGCGCCTGGCTGGGACATTCCAGGGCTTCGACGCCTCGCTAAATCGCGTGCCGTTCGCTTACGGCGACTGGGCTTTGACTGATGGCAGGGACAAGTTGTTTGGTCGAAGGTGTGTGGATACGGAAGTACAAGATGATGGCTTGACACGCTTGAAACCTCCCCCGATCTTAAGTTGGTGGGCTCCTCACTTGCCATTTGCCATTGAGCGCCTGCATGATAAGGCCTCATTCGCGGGAGGCTCAGTTGGCATTGGGCTGCGGATGACCTTTGGAAAGGCTCTTGTCATCTCTTGTCGCACTAGGTCACTAGGCCACTTCGTAGACCTGAAAGCAAGTGCAAGTAAAGTGAAGCAGAGAGTTCCTTTATGTTCCTTTGCATCGCGCCCTCCACCTATGTAAGTTTCATGGGTTCGAATGGCTATGCAATGCGACCCGGGATTGGCTTCCAAGATTTTTGCATTCCACAAAACACAGAGACGGTCGCAATAGACTCCACATGACACCGCCCAGCGACGCGCAAGGGGCGCAGCGTGGCATGGTTGAGCCTTTGCGTCTCCGTGTTGGGTGCCTGCCATTTGGGAGGTACAGTGCGAGACATGATTAAGGAGTCGAGTAGAGGGTGGGCCGTCAATGGATGTCAATATACACTTGGCAATCCTTCGGGGGGGGGGGGTGCGCAATGCCTTCCCTCAAGCCTTGCGAAACGATTCAAATTAGGATGGGCCGCAGTCGTAATTATGCTGGCCTTGAGCTTTACGGTTGATTGTCCCGCGTACGGCAGCCTGACAGTGATCAGGCGGGCCTGACCAGCAGGAGCACTTCTTCACACGGACGTCCATTCCTAAGCCGGGGTATGATCCGTCGCATGGGATCCAGAAATTTGAGATGGTCACCAAGCCGAGGGCCTGCACCAGAGTTCTAGACAGGTGGAAGACACAGAATGTCAACCTGCATGTCTGTCTTAAGCTTTTAGCTCAGGCTTTCGGGCACCCACGATTCTGTCCGTCTTACTAAGAGCAAGTGTCGTGAACTCTTTCATCCTCCTAGTCAGGCACCTCCAGCGTGGTGTTATCGCAGAGCTTCTCTCGTTGGGCACGGCAGTGGAATTTTTCGCGCACAAGGCCAGGCAGCAAAAGGGGGAGGGCCGAGGATAGGGTAAACTCTATAGAGGTGTGGATCGAGGTGTTCTGTGAGCTGCTTAATTATTTATCCATTTAGATTCCGGACTGACATGGCAAGATCAGTACGGACGATCGCACGCCGGCTGCAGGCAAGCCACACCTCTACCCAGTCCTAACGTATGCACCTGGAACGATCCTGCTCAGGGCACGTATGACAGGCTTGTCTCACTTCAAGGCTGCAACCAAAACCCCAAACCCTGAACCCTAAACCCACGTGCACATCCCGAGACATCACATTACCCTGCAATGCGGGCTCGTCCTTGCTAAGTAGGAGGCAAACCCTGGCCTGCTTGCGGCAACAAGCGATCAGCACATCGCAACACGGAGCTGCGCGAGCTCGCCTTAGGCCAGATATCCACCATCACATGCAGTCGTTCAATCACACGTGGAACTGCCAGAAAACGCCATAGTAGCTTCTGGAGCTTTACCAGCACAGCTCGGCCGCCATGGAAATTCCACCAGCACTCGCACCGATCGTCGCAGCTCAGCTTCTTGCACTTGCTGGACTTTCCTTGCTGCTTGAACGAGCACCCGCAAGCAGGAAGAGTGAGGAACTGACAGCGAAAGAGAAATGCGAAAACTGGTTTCTGGCTTACGGACTATTTTGGATCAGCTGTTTTGCCGTTATCATAGCCTGCGGCATCTACGAGAACATGAATAAGTGGCACTACCTCCTCGTCACTGGGGGCCTCGCCGCGCCTTTGTGCTTGCAGCCCTTCTTCCTCCCATCTCTGACAGGTGAGAAGGACGTACCATTGCTGGAGCGGCACTGCACAAAGGCAAACGTGTGGATCGCAATCTACTCCTTCTTGGGAAACTATTGGGGCACTCATTACTTCTACTGTGTGCTGAAAGCGAAGTATACCTTGCCATTCCTTCCGGATCATCAGTTGAATAAAGTTCCAGTGTGCATGTATCTTGCCACGCACTTCTACTTCTGCTTTTACCATGCGCTTGGAAGTAAAGTTATGCGCTGGGTCTGGACACGTTATCGACCTGGTGCTGCGCGGACAACTTTCTGTGTGTCCGTCGTCTGCGTCATGGCTTATTGCACTGCCTTCCTGGAGACATTTTCCATCTCAGCGTTTCCCTATTACACCTTCGATGATCGCCAGCAGATGTACACAGTCGGTTCTGCTTTCTATGCCCTCTACCTTGCCGTCTCCTTCCCGATGTTCGCCAGACTGGACTGGAAGCCAGGCGGACATACCCTGACCGAGGCATGCTTGGAAGCCTTTGCTACCTGGTCCATTATTCTCTCTCTGCTGGATTTTGTGCGCTTGGGACTCGGTGTCGACTTCCACATGGGGGCATGACAGCATGGACAACACGGATCGGCCAAATGCTCGGTCTGGAGAAGTTCCCCAACTTCAACTGCCCAAGGCCCAGTGGCTTCTTTCAGTATCTTCCAGATGGTGTGACTGCTGTCTTGTCCCACAGATCGCAATTGCAGCTGTTGAGGGACCGCCAGTAACGGTATGCATTTGGGTAGTTCAGGTGGTGAATCCTCATGTCAAAGGTCCCTCATCCACCGCCTCCGCCTGTAAGGCATTCCGACAAATTGCACAAGGCGGAAGGAAAAGAGGTGTAAACAAAACAGTATAGGGGCTTTAATAATTACCTGTATTATTTTGGGGGTTCCTTATTATGATTATAGTATAATGGGCCCCAAAAACTTTATTCTAATTAAAAAGGCCCCTACATTAGCCTGCAACCTACACCCTAAACCCCAAATCCTAGCCTCTTGCACCCCAAAGAGAGAAGAACTCCGCCGCTCAGCCTGGCTCCGGTGGGGGCGTCTCCTGGGCCTACGCCGTGCGGAAGCCGCAAAGTGAAGCTCCGTGGCCGGAAGGATCTCTGACCTGCTGTGGCTACTATTAACAAAGTAGAATATAATAGAATATGATATAATATAGTATGATCATATCATATATCAGAATATACCATAATGTAATATATTACATTATGAGACATAAAGTAACATAGGATAAAAAATAATAAAGTAAAATATAATGTAGTGCACTATATATAGTCTAGAATATAGTCATACTATGGCAACATCACGGTAGCATGCTAGCAATATTGCCCTGCAGCTTCCCTACTCCGCTCCAGAAATTCCTTACGGGGCTGGCATGTAATTTGACCTTCAGCATCTCTGAAGGAAAGAATCATCTGTTCCTTTTATGGTGTGGAATGTGCATGCACAGGCCGCACTATGGCTGCACCCAGGCGAACAAGGGTCCATCCTTCTTGTCCTCAGGAACACCGTTTAGGGCTACAGTTCAGGGTTTAGCATCTCCCTAAGCCCTAAACCCCAAGCCCTCTGCGAGAGTGAAAGTCGAAACCCTGAGCAGACATCGAACCACATGCCTCCCTGGAGTGTTTGAGTGCGAGCGCCGAAACCCGAAACTCCAAAACCCCTACTGCGGGCTCGTCCTTGCTAGGTAGGGAGCAAAAAAACCCTAAACCCTAAACTCCAAAACCCCTACGTAAACCCTAAATTCCAAAACCCCTAGACCCAAACCCTAAACTCCAAAACCCCTAGACCCCAAACCCTAAACTCCAAAACCCCTAAACCCGAAACTCCAAAACCCCTAACCCTAAACTCCAAAACCCCTAAACCCTAAACTCCTAAACCCCTAAACCCTAAACTCCTAAACCCCTAAACCCTAAACTCTTAAACCCCTAGACCCTAAACTCCTAAACCCCTCAACCCTAAACTCCTAAACCCCTAAACCCTAAACTCCTAAACCCTTAAACCCTAAACTCCAAA